TTTTACGTGCATCACATGTTATTTATAATGGATAAAGCTTTTGTGTGCAAATAAGGATGGTAATTTGGCTCATTGGCTCGGGCAGCACGTGGCTCGATCTGAAAAAAGCTCAACTCGTAAAAAAAAGGCAGCCTTAAAAAAAAAACCAAAAAAATAAAAAAATAAAATCGAGCCTGCTCAGTAAGGCCCGAGCCGAAAGCTCAAGTTGAGCCTCAAATTTTCGGTGGAGCTTTTGCCTAGCTCGGTTTGGGCAATAAAAAGTCCGTCTTAATTTTACTCGAGCTGGGTCTTGACCTCGAATTTTGACTTATGAGCCGGTTCGACTCAACTCGTTGACATTCCTATTTATAGGTGATGTATATACATATTACATTAGATCGAGAAAGAATTTTATTCTTAACTAACTGTACTTCATATCTCATTATATAAATTATAGTGTAACTCATATGCATTTAAGTTTCATGTAGCGATTAAATGCTTGTGTTCATTTTACTTTGAATCATTTTGTGAAGTAAAATGTTTCTTCCAAACAAGTCATAAGTGAAGCAACTTGGTTTCGGTGAAAGTAAAAGAGCAGTTAATTAGGTTGCTAAGTAGAGTAACATAATGTTATTTCCAATCTTTCTCCGCGAACAATTTTTTTCCCTAAATGGTCAATCAACTAAGGAAATCAATAGAGGCCCAATCACTGAATAGAAATTCGGGATTTTAGTGCTTGTTAACTATAGATTTTAACACAATTAAAATCAAGAAAAATCTGCAGCAAAAGCTCCAAATTTTTAAAACACTAACAGTTTTTCTCCAAATCTTTGATTTGCTGCAGTCATCACCTCTAATATCTCCAAACGTCGTAGATAAAGCCCTTTTTGACGGTTTTCATTCACTATTTCGTTAGTTGATTAAAAATTTAATTTTGATCACATTATAATCAATTTCAATGAGGGAAAAATGGTACTTTCATAGTTACCCCAATAAATAACAAAACAAAACAAAAAAAAAAAAAAGGAAAAAAGAAGAAAAAATGTAGCTTCATCTTTCCAAATCCATCCAACCCACAACATTCGCCAAATCAATAAATGAAATTCCTTATGTCATTGTTGTAATTTAAATCAACCATGTACTGCTTTTCGCCGGAAGCTGAAGCTACGGCCGACGGACCCCAAGATCTAAAGGTCACTTCATTAATGGCGAAACAAGGGCTGCAAGGCATTTTTCGATCTGTTAACAAGCTCCAGTGCTGCCAACACTTTTTCACAAAGTGTTGTAGATGGGTTAACAGTTTTTTGCCCAATAGATGAATCTATAAACACTTTCATGCCAAAATACAAAAATTTGACTTCAAATGGGAAAGTTTCATCGCTTTTGTATCATGGGTTTCCTGTATATCAATCTTTGGGTATGTCAAGATCCAGCAGTGGATTGATAAACATTCTAGCCAAGGCTTTATTGTTCCCTTTTGTTCAAAATTGAAAATTTAGAGCATCAGATTGTAACTGAAACAATACTTTTGGAGTGAATGGGCTCAAAAAGGGAAAAACGGAACTGGTTTTCATATGTGGTGGCGACGGTGGACGGATGAGGAATAGGTGGTGGTGGGCAGGGTTTGGTGATTGGCGTATTGTGCGTGAAGAAGGTGGTGGCGGGCAGGGCTCGGTGACTATTGTATTTGGGAAGAAGATTGTATAGTTTTTCCTTCGTTTCTTTTCATTTTTTTTTTTGTTATTTATTGTGATAAATATAAAAGTACCATTTTACCCTCATTGAAAATTGATTATAATGTGGTCAAAGTTAAATTTTTAATCAACTATTAGAATAGTGGATGAAAACAGTCAAAAAAGGCTTTACCTGTGACGTTTGGAAATGTTAGGGGTGACGGATGCAGCAAATAAAAAGTTTGGGGAAAGTCTGCTAGACATTTGGGGCTTTTGCTGCAATTTTACCTAAAATCAATTTTTTGAACTTTATTTCACTATTCCAACCGTCATTTTTGAATTTTTCTTTCACAGATAGAACGCATTTTATTTCTAACGATAAAAAAAAATAAATTATCAAAATCTCTACCAAATAAGCAAATCGTATAAGATACTTCAAGAGAAGTATTATAAAAATAGATTGTCTAATTCCACGTACCATAAATCTTATTAACCCTTCAATCATTCACTGAATGCTCAACGTGAATTCAAGTCATTCGCTGCACCTACCCCTTTATTAGCATACATTTTCATGTGTTTCCAGACCAATGTTTCATCTGGTGGCCCATATTTCGTGTACACAAAAATTTTCCATCACATGTACCCAAGTCTCAAGGGCAAAACGGGAATTGGATTTGGATCACCTACGAAGTTTTTCTCTTTTTGGAATTGTTTATACTAAACAAAATGACGCAAGCCTTACATGGACACTGACATCATTGCATGTATCAACAAATGTCCTAGATCGTCTAGAAGATATCACACCCCCAACCCCAAACTCTAACCCACCTCCACACCACCCTATCCCGAGGACCCCACTTCTACATACACTCCAAATTCATATAATTTCATACAAGAATCAAGATCAAAACCCCTATATATATCCTCCATTTTTATCATATCATCCAACTAAAAAGTTTCCTCCATAATTATCCAATCTTGAGCACAAACCCTGAATAATTTCTCGTTCATGGAGCCTCATATTGCCATTTTCCCAACTCCAGGAATGGGGCACCTCATCCCACTAGTCGGATTTGCCAAGGTACTTATTCAAAAACACAATTTCAATGTAACTTTTATCATCCCAACTGATGGGCCTCTCTCAAACGCACAAAAATCATTTCTTGAAAAACTCCCACCTCGTATAGACTATGTCGTTCTTCCCCCGGTCAATTTTGATGACTTGTCTAAGGATGCAAAGATTGAAACCCGTATTGCTCTCACTGTTACACGTTCCCTTTCATCCCTTCGTAATGCTGTTAAATCCTTGATTTCGACTAAAAGATTTGCCGCTTTTGTGGTTGACTTGTTTGGGACTGATGCATTTGATGTTGCCAATGAATTCAAGATTTCTCCTTATATTTTCTATCCCACTACGGCCATGTGTTTGTCACTTTTCTTAAACTTGTCGAAGATTGATGAATCTGTGTCGTGTGAGTATAGAGACATGTCTGAGAAGCTTCGCATCCCGGGGTGCATGCCGATTCATGGGTCGGATCTTTTGGACCCGATTCAGGACAGGAAAAATGATGCATACAAATGGATTCTTCATCATTCAAAGAGATATGGAATGGCTGCAGGGATTATTTTGAACAGTTTCAAGGAATTGGAGCCTGGTGCCATTGAGTATTTGCAAGAAAAAGAAACTGGTAAGCCACCTGTTTATTGCATAGGACCATTGATTCAAATGGGCTCAAAATCTGAAAACAATGAAGAATATGAGTGTTCAAAATGGCTAGATGAACAGCCAAGTAGCTCAGTTTTGTATATATCTTTTGGGAGTGGCGGGACACTGTCTCATGAACAGATAATTGAAATTGCATTGGGATTAGAAATGAGTGAGCAAAGGTTTTTGTGGGTTCTTAGATGTCCAAGTGATACAACTGCCAGTGCTGCATATTTCAGTATCCAAAATTCAGGTGACCCTTTGGCTTATTTGCCACAAGGGTTCTTGGATAGGACCAAGGGGCGTGGGCTAGTGGTGCCTCTATGGGCACCACAGGCACAAATTCTTAGCCACGATTCAACTGGTGGATTTTTGTCACACTGTGGTTGGAACTCGACCCTCGAGAGCATTGTCAATGGTGTACCGTTGATTGCTTGGCCACTCTACGCAGAACAGAGAATGAACGCGGTAATGTTGACTGAGGATGTAAAAGTAGCCTTAAGGCCAAAATCCAATGAAAAAGGACTAGTGACAAGACTTGAAATCGCGAAAGTCGTGAAGGGTTTGATGGAAGGAGAAGAAGGAAAAGGCATTCGAAGTCGAATGAGAGACCTCAAGGATGCAGCTGCAAAGGTTCTTAGCGATGATGGATCTTCCACAAAAACACTTGCGGAGTTGGCTAACAAGTGGAAAAGTAACATTTTTACATTGCCAAATTAGTGTTCAATAATTGAATTATGCTTGTATTTAATTTCGTAGGATTTGAATTACTTGTTTGTATCATCTATGGCTTGCTAATAATGGATTAGAATTCTGTTTATTGTACGGCCCTTTTTTTTTTCTTTTTTTTTTTCCTTTAAGGCTCCTTTTTCAAAACAACAACAATACGATATGAAATTAAATTAAATGGATAAATTAATTAATTATGAAAAGTTAGGTGAGGTGGACACATCAAAAGAATGGAACACACAATCAAACAAGAGAGGAGAAAATGTAGTCAGATCACACAATAAAGTGGTGAGCACTGAATGAATATGGAGTAGGTGGCTGGCAAATTTGACATTTCTATTCTAAAACAATTGATATATTAACTGAGGGATGATAATCATGTTAATCTAAAGCATATTTGTTTGTTTGTGTAGATAATCGCTTTAATAATGGCTACTTATATATACGAGTCTGTTTTGATCTTTAATTTGAATAAAAATGGCCTTTACTAGTTTTGAAATGGATTAGATATGTGCTAAATAAGAATCGCGACATTCACCGATCTATTTAAGATACCGTGTCCCTCTCAAATGCTCCCGAGGGCGAGAAGAAGTTACACAATGATATTCTAAGGAATAACTTATTCTTGGTTAGTGATTTCAATTTGAAATGTGATTCTTTGGGGTTTTTAGTTTCCTAATTAAAAGGAAATTAGGAGGCAAATGGCAACAAGTGGAAATTTTGGCACTACTATTTTTGCAGAATTGTTATAAAATAAATATCTCAACATACAATGATCGAAGAATAAAATTTTAACTTTTTTAACGCATGTCATACTGTCCTATAATCATTAGAAGTATATTGAGAATCAATTATTGGTTAAATTGAATATATTATCTTTTGATAGCTAATTTTGAAATATGTTTTCAACCCTACATGAGCTTATATTATTCTATGGATATTCGCACTTAAATTCAAAATCTTTGAACAAGAATTATTGGGATTATCATTAATAATATACAAATATTTTGTCTTTGTTTGCAAACTACCATTTGGATTCTTTCTTCCTTTGTCTGATTTCATTGACAAATTCTAACCTCAAGAAATGTGTGACATTTGATAAGATTATAAAAGATTCTAATATAATCAATGACATAATTTTACAATTAATCACATTGAATATAATCAAAATGTACCATAGAAAGTCTTAATAAAATTGAGGTTTTAAAAATTTATATTCGTTTAAGTTGATTGGTTGTTGAACTTTATTTCGTCATAATTATGTCATTTATTTTGTATTTTTATTCCAATTAAGTCTTTCTTTCAACTAAATGATTGTATATTTGGTATACTGTAATTGTACATTTCAATAAATAAGATTTTATTTTTTCCTTTTTTTTTATTTCTTATGGTCTAGCATTATTTAAATCATGAAATTGCAACAAGAAACGTTCAAGGGTCCTTCATCTCGACGATCTAGATGCAACGTGGACAGATCAATACAAAAACTTCGATTACGTAGTAATTGCAGGGGGGAAATGGTTTCTCAAATCTGCAATTTACTACGAGAACAACACTATTGTGGGATGCCATAATTGCCAAGGGAAGAACATAACGCAATTGGGATTTTACCATGCCTATCGCAAAGCACTAAACTCAACGCTGAAATTCATCACGAGCTCAAAGCACAAGGCTTTTACGTTCTTTAGAACGACGACTCCAGATCACTTTGAGAACGGGGAGTGGAACACAGGTGGATATTGTAACAGAACAAGACCATTTCGAGAAGGTGAGATTGACATCAACGATATGGATGGCATGATGAGAAACATCGAACTTGAAGAATTCGAAAGGGCAGCAGCAATAGGATCAGAAAAAGATTTAACTTTGAAACTATTCGATACCACCAGTATTTCGCTATTACGACCCGATGGCCATCCGGGAGTCTACAGGCAGTTCCATCCATATTCTAGAAAAGATAAACATTTGAAGCTGCAAAATGATTGTCTACATTGGTGTTTGCCTGGACCTATAGACTATTGGAATGATTTGATGATGGAAATTTTCGTGAATGGTTGAAAATTATTCTGATTTTCCATCTGAGAATGGCATCTATGCAGAAACATTTTTTGTAGAATCTTTTGTTGTTGTCATGCCATCTTGTACGTAGTTCAAGGAAAAATGATTTATAAGAAAAGAAACTGTTTGTAATAATTGTTTAATCCGTGTTCTTGGTGAATACAGAGTCAGTCCTAGGCATTGAAATCAGTTTCAAAAATTCTTAAAATTCTGCTATTTCTGCATACTCAAAAGGAAAACTTGAACATTCAATCAAGTGAAATTGACTTTATACAAGAAAATTACTAATCCTCTGCCCTTAAGATCTCATATTTCTGAATTGCACTCAGGATGGCCTAGTGACGTGAACTCAGAAGTGGATGGTCACACATTACTAAAAGACATGGTTGATCATTAGATGTCTGTTATTTGTGTACCATTATAGATAGACAAATCTGGTATAGTCCAATGCAATTTCTTTTGTCCTTTTTTACTTACGTGCAACGTGGAAAAAAAAAAAATTAATTAATGAAAGCATTTAATTTCCTTACAAAGGCTGAAAATGGCTTACAAACAGTAGGTTTTTGATGAGTTATGAGACACTCGTCCACGTGCAATACATTCCTTGTGCGTGGAAATGATGTGCTGACATAGTTCATTAGATTGAGCAAGAATTTTTTCTTTTATTATCGTACCTATTGTCTTATTGTATAGATTATACCTTAATTATTTTCTGGCCATTAACATTTTTGGGCAGCTGCTCGTGAATAACCACATGCGCGGCATGCATTACATGCCTGCTTGAATACGGAAAAATGTCCAGTGCTACACAAATGTGAAAAATAATAATAATAACAAGTGAGGGTACAAAATAAGAATATCGATAATAAGTTAATCTAATACCAGTTATATTTTATTTGATTTGATTAGTTAGAAGGTTAGGCATAATGTATAGAATGATTTACAAGTGCCATAAATGCATCCTTCGTGGATAATTTTTAATTTCTAAAACAACTAGAAAATTATCGTTGACTATTAAATAATAAAATAGTATATTTAAAATTATTATTGACCAACTATATTTAAAAGTTAAAAAAATCAATTATCTATATTTTAAACATTGAGTACCAACTTGCTATTAGCTCGATTAGTTGGGGCTGATCCACTACTATCTAGACGGATGCTAATCACAACAAATGCTAGATATCGTTATTCACTCGACCAACAACTAGAAAAATAACCTCTGTCATTTAAATAATAAAATAGTATATTTGAAATTATTCTTGTGCAACTATAATGAAAAGTTGAAAACCAACTTGTTACATTTTAAACGTCGAGAACCAATATGCTATATATTAGCACGATAAGTTTGGGGTGGAACATGGACCACTACTATCTAGACGGTTGCTAAACGCCATCAGTGCTAGAAAGTGTTATTCTCGTGACCAACAAAAATATCGCCATATCTTATCTTTGAATCTTATTTTCCTTTAAGCAAACACGAAGAATTTATGCTTCTTACAGTTTTAGGTAATAAAAATAGTATACCAATCTACAACATTTAAAAGGCAGTCGTAGTAAAAGATATTGACATTAGTGGTCACAAATTACTAAAAGAAGTGGTTCATCGTTGTATGATTAACTTTTAAACGTCTTATCATTTTTGTAACATTATAGAAAAGTTAATTTTGTATAATCAAGAAGAATTTCTTTTTGACTTGAGTACAAGGTGACTCAAAATAATTGTATGTGCACGATAAATCTCAACCATAAAATAAACTGAGTATCTAAAAGACACAAGAAAAAAAATAAATGAAAAAAAAAATTTTAATTTAAATTATCTCAAGAATTTAATTGCCTCACAAGACTTAAAATGATTAAAATTAGTATATGAAAGATGGGTTATGACCCACTTGTTTAATTGCATTACATATTTTAATAATGAATAATTCTTCACATGAGATGGGTCCCGCATGAGTCCCACCTCATTAAGAAAGACCCCCAAAATATCCAAACATGATTTACAATTGACATAAATGTTGTCTTTCTGGATAATTATTGAGTTCTATAACGATTGAAAAAAGAGGAAATTTGACTAAATGTCCATTTTTACCTAATCATTTGTAAAAATGTCCACCATTGTAAAAATGTCTAATTTGGAAGAATTTAGACCAAAATAATTAACAATTTATAATTCCACACTAAGACTAAAAAATGGACATTTTTACAATATTGTTATTGGTCAATAAAAATTTGACACATAACTTGTCATATTTATTTCAAAAAGTATACATGTCAAATCACAATAAATGCTATGTTTTTCATTGATTCAGAAATATCGAGAACAATATTTTAAATGTAGAGAAATGTCATGTTCAAAATGAAATGTCATTCTAAACAAATGAAACGGTGTTCAAATGTCGAAAATGACATATGAAATGTAAATAAACATTATTTTAATGTAGTTTTTTATGGAAGCCACTTCTCAAAATTCGTGACAAATTAATAAAAAAAATCAAATGTCGAGAACGACATTTAAAATGTCGAGAACGACATTTAAAATGTCGAGAATACCATTTCAAAATGTAGCTTTTCATTAAAGGCATAATAGACAAGTTAGCACTAAATTCAAATAAGTGGATACTTTTCCACTCATACCCTTAAAATTGGACATTCTTAAAAATGCCCCTTGAAAAAAATAGCCATTGTCGGTTAATAATAAAATAGTATATTTAAAATTATTCTTGGAAAACTACAACGAAATGTTGAAAATCAACTTGTTGCATTTTAAACCTAATGAACGAATAAGTCAGTGTGGCCCACTACTACCTAGAGGGGTTATACGCACCACTAGTACTAAATAGCATTTAAGCAATATTATCTTCACATATTGTTTCTGGGTTGTATTTTCCTTTAAAAAAACATGAAGCATTTAATTTCTTCCTTCAAGTTTTAGGTATTAAAAGCTGCTATAGTACTATATCAATCTACGACGAATAAAACTTAGTTGTTGTAAAATATGTTGAATTAATGGTCATGGATTACTAAAACAAATGGTTGATCATTCTATGACAAACTTTTAAGCTTCTACCATCTGTTTATCATTAGAGGAAGAATAATTTGGTACAATCCAATACAATTTCTTATTCCCTTTTTGGAAATTTTCGTACGCGCTCAATAAATTTGTGTCATGAAATAAACTAGGTATCTAAAACACACATGAAAATATATGTGAAAAAGAAGTTAAGGTTAGATTATGACAAGCATTTAATTGCCTCGCAAGACCTAAAATACAAGCATTTAATGGGTTGTCGTGTGTGTGTCTATATATATATATATATAATTTTTTTTTTTTTTTTTTTACGTGCATCACATGTTATTTATAATGGATACAGCTTTTGTGTGCAAATAAGGATGGTAATTTGGCTCATTGGCTCGGGCAGCACGTGACTCGATCCGAAAAAAGCTCAACTCGTAAAAAAAAGGCAGCCTTAAAAAAAAACCAAAAAAATAAAAAAATAAAATCGAGCCTGCTCAGTAAGGCCCGAGCCGAAAGCTCAAGTTGAGCCTCAAATTTTCGGTGGAGCTTTTGCCTAGCTCGGTTCGGGCAATAAAAAGTCCGTCTTAATTTTACTCGAGCTGGGTCTTGACCTCGAATTTTGACTTATGAGCCGGTTCGACTCAACTCGTTGACATTCCTATTTATAGGTGATGTGTATACATATTACATTAGATCGAGAAAGAATTTTATTCTTAACTAACTGTACTTCATATCTCATTATATAAATTATAGTGTAACTCATATGCATTTAAGTTTCATGTAGCGATTAAATGCTTGTGTTCATTTTACTTTGAATCATTTTGTGAAGTAAAATGTTTCTTCCAAACAAGTCATAAGTGAAGCAACTTGGTTTCGGTGAAAGTAAAAGAGCAGTTAATTAGGTTGCTAAGTAGAGTAACATAATGTTATTTCCAATCTTTCTCCGCGAACAATTTTTTTCCCTAAATGGTCAATCAACTAAGGAAATCAATAGAGGCCCAATCACTGAATAGATATTCGGGATTTTAGTGCTTGTTAACTATAGATTTTAAGACAATTAAAATCAAGAAAAATTTGCAGCAAAAGCTCCAAACTTTTAAAACACTAACAGTTTTTCTCCAAATCTTTGATTTGCTGCAGTCATCACCTCTAATATTTCCAAACGTCGTAGATAAAGTCCTTTTTGACGGTTTTCATTCACTATTTCGTTTGTTGACTAAAAATTTAATTTTGACCACATTATAATCAATTTCAATGAGGGTAAAATGGTACTTTCATAGTTACCCCAATAAATAACAAAACAAAACAAAAAAAAAAAAGGAAGAAGAAAAAATGTAGCTTCATCTTTCCAAATCCATCCAAACCCACAACATTCGCCAAATCAATAAATGAAATTCCTTATGTCATTGTTGTAATTTAAATCAACCATGTACTGCTTTTCGCCGGAAGCTGAAGCTACGGCCGACGGACCCCAAGATCTAAAGGTCACTTCATTAATGGCGAAACAAGGGCTGCAAGGCATTTTTCGATCTGTTAACAAGCTCCAGTGCTGCCAACACTTTTTCACAAAGTGTTGTAGATGGGTTAACAGTTTTTTGCCCAATAGATGAATCTATAAACACTTTCATGCCAAAATACAAAAATTTGACTTCAAATGGGAAAGTTTCATCGCTTTTGTATCATGGGTTTCCTGTATATCAATCTTTGGGTATGTCAAGATCCAGCAGTGGATTGATAAACATTCTAGCCAAGGCTTTATTGTTCCCTTTTGTTCAAAATTGAAAATTTAGAGCATCAGATTGTAACTGAAACAATACTTTTGGAGTGAATGGGCTCAAAAAGGGAAAAACGGAACTGGTTTTCATATGTGGTGGCGACGGTGGACGGATGAGGAATAGGTGGTGGTGGGCAGGGTTTGGTGATTGGCGTATTGTGCGTGAAGAAGGTGGTGGCGGGCAGGGCTCGGTGACTATTGTATTTGGGAAGAAGATTGTATAGTTTTTCCTTCGTTTCTTTTCATTTTTTTTTTGTTATTTATTGTGATAAATATAAAAGTACCATTTTACCCTCATTGAAAATTGATTATAATGTGGTCAAAGTTAAATTTTTAATCAACTATTAGAATAGTGGATGAAAACAGTCAAAAAAGGCTTTACCTGTGACGTTTGGAAATGTTAGGGGTGACGGAT